GTGGTAGAACCGCATGTGAGCACATGACCAGAGCTTCTCTGAGCTGCCATTTCCCCAGCCAGAGGGAGTAGGGGATGACATCAGAATGAAGAACCACTTCCTCTCCCCTGCTAGGCAGAGCCCGTGGGCCCGATGCAGCCTGTAACTTGCATTGATCCAGCCTGTTACGCTTGGGATTCCGGACTCCATAGCAGGACAAGCCAGCTCTGGCTTGCTCTGTTGTGGGAAGAGAGAGCCCAAGCCTCGTGGGCCGGATCAAGACATGCCGCATGCTGGGCCATAGGTCCCCATCCCTTTAACTAGATACAAATTTAATCACTAGCAGAACTTAAAATTATCGATAAGGTGAACTGATTTCGAAAGAACATGGTTTTCAAAGAAGAATAAATAAATTAAAACTAAATAAATATTTAGCTACCAGATTGCAGAAAATATCTCAAAAGTAAGTGACATGTTATTGCATATACAGGCAGTCCCCGACTTACGCGGATCCGACTTACGTCGGATCCGCACTTACGAACGGGGCTTTCTCGACAGGAAGCCCCAGGCAGAGTTGCTCTGCCCCGGGCTTCCTGGAATCAGCTGCTGATCAGTTTCAGCAGCAGCTGACTTGGGGACGCCTGGGGTTCTTAAGTTGATTCTGTATGTAAGTCAGAACTGGCGGTCAGTTTCAGCAGTGTCTGAATCTGGACGCCAGTTCCGACTTACATACAGATTCAACTTAAGAACAAACCTACAGTCCCTATCTTGTAGTTGCTCTGCCCCGGGCTTCCTGGAATCAGCTGCTGATCAGTTTCAGCAGCAGCTGACTTGGGGACGCCTGGGGTTCTTAAGTTGATTCTGTATGTAAGTCAGAACTGGCGGTCAGTTTCAGCAGTGTCTGAATCTGGACGCCAGTTCCGACTTACATACAGATTCAACTTAAGAACAAACCTACAGTCCCTATCTTGTACGTAACCCGGGGACTGCCTGTATTACAAAAACTTTCAATGCCAAGTTCTGCATTTTGTTTCTTTTTAGGTAATCTGTCATGTTTGGCACCAACAACCTGCGGTCACAATGATCTTTTTGAATATTCGTTTTGCTGAAATATATGGTTTTAATGTTGATGACTGGCTTTTGGTGGCAGCTACACCTGATTTGCATTTGGTTTTGATTTTGGTTGGTCCTGATTGTGGTTCCCTGTAATCTTAGTGCTTGGGCAGCCACCCAGGAGAAATTCAGGTGCTGCTCAGTTGATTAGCAGAGCACCCACAGCCTCCCAGAGCCAGAAGCATGTGTTTCTATTGGTGGTGAACATCTCCCATGCTTTGGTTCACGTAAATTTTAATCTGAACATGGGAGGAAAATATTATTAGAGGGATCATTGTTTCTGATCTCTGGTCTGTATGGCCAATGTTGGTTTTCAGTAGGTTGTCACTTAGAGTCTGGACTTGTTGGCTTGTCACATTAGCACTTGCCTTATTGGCACCTATGTCCACTTTATGTTGCTGTGAAGAAGGACGGTGCAGATTGACAGCCATAGATTTACACTTGGTGCTGCGTGTAGGCACTTGGTGCCTTCTGACCTTACTGCTTCAGCCAAAAGAAGAGTTGAAAAGGTCAATTTCAACTACTAGATGAGCTGAGTCAGACATAGGCCTAGTGACACCCAGTGTGTGCATCTGGGTTTTGGAATCTTTTGGACTTCTGCAAAGAATAACTTCTTAGAAAATGAGCTCCCAGTGATGCTTGGTGCTCTTCTCAATGTAGCAATAGATATCAATCAAGAAATTCTCTGGTGACAGGGCATTTTTCTCAACCATGACGTATACTAGCTGACATAGGCACCCACAAGAAAAACAGATGATGATGTTTTGAAATGAATACTGCAATACACTTGTGCAAGACCATCATGACCGAACTATTGTCACTGTCAAAAAATCAATTAAAAAGAAAAGGAATTTACCTGCACTCTATATTTTGATTCAGAAGCTGAAAAATATTTTGTTAAAATGCACTCTGTACTGGTTGGGACCAGCATCGATACAGTGATTACTTTATCTCTGCTGTCATCAAAATATTGACTAATGAGTGGGAACAGTTTGTTGATGCCTGAATCAGTGGCTAGAATAAATGCGGAATAATGCATGCTTTCTGCTAGGCAGGTCACACAGTCATTTACTGTCTCTTTGATAATGGCTGTCATCTTAGGTGCATGCACACCTAGGAAGATTTCCTGGTAACTTTTGAGTATGGGGAAAAAAACAGTTTTCAGCATGTTTTTTAAAATAATTTTCCATTTGGTTCCAGGTTTGAATGGTGTGTGGCAAATAAAGCCCAGAGCCGTTTATTCAGTTCCCTAATTAAAATGCTTTAAACTGTAAATTATTTTTAATGTGTATTAAAAATGCACACACCACAACTGGGATACCTGATATATTTGGAGTTGAGGAGTGTTATAGTCATCATAATAATACATGAGTTTTGAAATGTAACTTTGTTTATTAAACAATTTTATTGTTGCAAATGCAAACACTTATAAGTTATTAAATGCCAAAATTAAAGGTGCCTATGCAGTCTTAATTAAGCCCCATTTTATACATGCATTACGACAGTCTTTAATTACATCATAGCACATAGATCACACAGTATTTTCTCTACAGAAATCCAGCCTTGTTCCATGAATAAATAGTTATTCAGCATATTTTTATCATCCTCATTCAATGTGTGGGTATCTCTACACTACCACCCTAGTTCGAACTAGGGTGGTAGTGTAGAGATACCCACACATTGAATGAGGATGATAAAAATATGCTGAATAACTATTTATTCATGGAACAAGGCTGGATTTCTGTAGAGAAAATACTGTGTGATCTATGTGCTATGATGTAATTAAAGACTGTCGTAATGCATGTATAAAATGGGGCTTAATTAAGACTGCATAGGCACCTTTAATTTTGGCATTTAATAACTTATAAGTGTTTGCATTTGCAACAATAAAATTGTTTAATAAACAAAGTTACATTTCAAAACTCATGTATTATTATGATGACTATAACACTCCTCAACTCCAAATATATCAGGTATCCCAGTTGTGGTGTGTGCATTTTTAATACACATTAAAAATAATTTACAGTTTAAAGCATTTTAATTAGGGAACTGAATAAACCAAGTCTACTCAGATACATGTTAATGAATTCTGTACCATGTGCTCCATGATCTAGTGGCAAGTGCTGAAAGCAAGATCTTCAACTACTGGGTCCTATAGGCTATAGTATTCTATGAGGTAAACACAGGACTAAATTTCTGCCCCATCCCAGAATGACGTGTAGCCTAATCCTTTTCCTTCAATTCATACTAGGGGTGAGGATACAGCAGATTTATATGTTTATACTTCAAGGTCTATAAGAGATATTTCTTACACTACTTGTACTTAGGGCTAGATGCTACTCTCACTCTTATTATTAGTTTTACAGTTGTGTAACTCTATATACTACTCACAATTTACTCTAGTAGCTGAATCAAGCCCAAAGAAACTTTTCTTCTAGATCAGTGGTGAGCTACCTGCAGCCTGTGGGCTGCATGATTCCACCTGTACCCCACACAGCTGATTTGCAGCATTCAAGCTCTGGGAGGGAGGGAGAGGAGCAGGGATGGAGCACAAATAAGTGGATTCATGGTGGTCTGAAAGTGCTGGGAGGGAGGGGAGGAGTAGGAAGTGTGGGGCTCCAGTACATGAGAGGTGTCAGGGAAGAGAGCAGACAGGGTTCATGGGCTGCAGGCTGCCCTCCGCTAGATTTCAATAATGCACCCCACTTCCTAGTCTTGGTTGCCTATCGCTATCTAGACTCTCCTGCTAGGTAGTTCTGCGGTAAGGAGTGTAAATTATTTCTGCTTTGTGGCTATTTTATGATGTTTGATTAAAAAAAACATACATATATGTTCTTGCTTTGGAGAGCTGAACTCTTGTCAAACCTGCCACACACCAAGTGTCCCGGAGAACACCTGCTGCTGTGCACTAAAAGTTCTATAGGTTGCTTCAATCTATTTCCTCTTGCAAAGAGGAATAGATTTACATTTCAACTTGTGAATGATATGTTCATCTAGATAGCCCCATAAATTACAGTATCATAAAACTACAGGTAAAGTTTTGCATCTGTTCTGTTCACGGATAGTAAAAATATTCAGATGGGCACTGCATGGACTGTAATTGCTCTGTGCATCTTTGTTTTCTTTATAGTAGTTTGAATTACATTATTTAAAGCAAAGATCTTTAACTTTTATATTCTTCAGTACAGATGACTATGAATAGGATTGCCAGGTGTCCACTTTTGAACCGGACAGTCCAGTATTTGAGCTTTCTGTTCGGGAAACAAATTGAGAAAATATAAATGTCCAGTATTTTCTAAATAAGATTTAATGTAGATTGTGATCTAATGTCAAGTGTGTCCGGTATTTTTATTGAAACCATCTGGCAAGCCTATGAAAACAATCATGTGACACAGTGAATACATGATTACAGACTCATAGACTTTAAGGCCAGCAGGGACCATTACGATCATCTAGTTTGATAGCCTATGCATCACAGGTCACAGAACTTCAGCCACTCCCACAATAGGCTCTCATCTCTGGGGGTATGTCTACACAGCAGTGTTATTTTGGAATAACTGACATTATATTGAAATAATAAAGTGCATGTCTAGACAGCAAGTTGTTATTTTGAAATCATTTTGAGATGGAGAACTTCTTACTCTGGCTCCTGTAGCCCACATTTCACAAGGAGTAAGGGAATTCGAAAGAAGAGTGTTCTTCCTTTAACTTCCTGCTGTGTAGGCAGGGTCAAAAGCCAAATTAAGCTATTTCAACTTCAGCCACGCAATTGACATAACAGAAGCTACGTATCTTAATTCAACATTTGCCCTGCAGTGTAAACTTGCCCTGCTGTGCAACCGTACAGCACATTTATTTTTTGCTCCACAATGGATACATATGGGATTTTTGCTTTTTTTTTTTAACAGAAAAAATACAGAAAGGGATCTGTTGATATTACAAAAATCAAGTGTGTTGAAATTGTGAAGAATGATGGTGCCATTATTCCATGTCAAAATAAATATCCATTTCAGGTAAGTTCAGTTGGTTTATTTAAAATGTAATACTCCATTTTTCAACAAAGCTCAGTTAATTTATATTTGTTACTTATCTTGTAGTTTGTTTCTGATTATTTTATTGACGTTTCTTCAGATACTGGGCCCAATTTCAGTCTCATTGACACCTGTTTTAAATAATTTCAGTGTGGCTATCCTGACTAACTCTCATGTCAGGGAGAATCAGGTCTATTCAGGCTTTTAAATTCAACATTCAATACGTCTACACTGGCCCCTTCTTCAGAAGGGGCATGCTAATTTCAAACTTTGGGGGATGCTAATTTCAATTCCTACTTTGAAGGGGGCTACTTTGAAGTAGGAATAAGAGATCCTCCGGAAAAGGGCTTTATTCCGGAGGATCGCGCCAGTCTAGACGCTTTTTTCCGGCTTTTCCCCAAGCCGGAAAAAAAGCGGTGGCATGTTTATTTAAATCCCGTGGGGGATATTTAAATCCCCCGCGGATTTCCCTATTCCCAAGTTTGAAATTAGCATGCCCCTTCTGAAGAAGGGGCCAGTGTAGACGTAGCCCATATGTTTTGAATAATTTCACAATGGAAAGTAAGGAGTCTGAGAGGAAAAAAAGATGGGTAAACAAATCACTTGAGTCAAATTCTCTCTCATTAACAGCAGTGAAATTACTCTGAATTTCAAATGGTATAACTGAGGGTATGTCTATACTACAGAGATTTTTTTTGGAAAGACAACTGTTTTTCTGAAAAAAACTTCAATTATGTCTATACTGCAATCATGTTCTTTTGAAAGAAAATCGAAAGAACAGAGGGGTTTTTCCCGCATTGATAATCCTCTTTATGCGAGGAAGAAGCCTTTTTCTGTGTGGATGAGGAAGAGGGAGTTCTTTCGGAAGAAGAGGAAAGAGGAAAAATCATAGGTGCCCTGCCCTGGTGGCCACTCCGTCCATAGTAATCACAGTTTTAATGCAAGATAGTGTCCATTCAGTGTGGATGCTCTCTTTTGAAAAAGCAGGTTGCTTTTTTGATGTGCTTTTATGTGTGGACGGTCTCTTCCGAAAGAGGTTTTTCCGGAAGATCTCTTCCAAAAAAAAGCTTCTTCCGAAAGAAGCCTGTAGTCTAGGCATAACCTGAGAATCTTCCCTCTTCTTCCTAGTAACAATACCTACTTTTTAACCAATGAAAGCAAGAAAAATAAAAATGATGTGCAGATGAAGAAGACTGTCCAAAAAGTTATCTAGGACAATATGGAATCATAGTCATACCTGTAAAGTGACAAGTACAGAGGGAGGTTCAATTAGACACTGACACTATTAATTTTATTTTAAAGAAAACCCAAAGGTGAAGAATAAACAAAAGATGTCTTTTGTTTTTTGATGTCTTTTGTTTATTCTTCACCTTTGGGTTTTCTTTAAAATAAAATTAATAGTATCAATGTCTAATTAAACCTCCCTCTGTACCTGTCACTTTACAGCAGTGGTCTCCAACCTTTTAAAGTATCAGATCACTTTTTTAATTTAAGTGCAATCCAAGATCTACCTCAAACCCAAATAGCCTGGCCCCGCCTCCTTTGTGCCCCTTCTCTGAGACCCTGCCCCTGCTCACTCCATTCTCCCTTCCTCCCCCATCCTCCCTCACTTTCACCAGGCAGGGGCAATGTTTTGGGGGTGCAGGCTCTGGTCTTGGATGAAGGGATTTGGAATGTGAGGGGGCTCTGAGCTGAACGTGGGGCAGGCAGTTGGGTTGCCAGAGGGGGTTCTAGGTGCAGGCTCTAGGAGGGTATTTGGATGCAGGGGTTCTTGGGGCTGGGGTAGGAGCCTGGCAATCAGGAGGGGGTTCATGACTGGGGTAGGGTTTCAGGATGTGGGTCGATTGAGCCCTGCTTACCTCAGGTGGCTCCTGGGTGGTGGTGCAGTGGGGCAAAGGCAGGCTCACCCCTGCCCTGGCCCTGCACCACTCCCAAAAGCAGCCAGCAAACTCCATCCCAAGTCCTGCTGTGCCCCCTCTCTGCTCTGTGGAGATAGGACACAGGGTGGGAAAGGGGACACCTTGACACCAGCACCCCCTCTTCTCCCTGTCCTGCCCTGCCCAGCAAGTAGGAGGCTCCGAGGGGCAGGAGAGGCAGCTCCAAGATAAAGATCAGGAGCTGCACAGCAGTGGGGGGAGAAGCAGTTGAAGTGCCAGCACTTGACAGCCTCTTGGCCAAACCAGTCAGGATCACCTGTCAGAGACTCCAAGATCTTCCAGTAGATCCCAATGTACTGGTTGGTGACCACTGCTCTACAGGTATGATTATGATTCCATATAGTAATGTAACCAAGCAAATGGTTAAAGGAACACTGTGACTTTCACATTAATATTAAATTCCATATTTGTCCTATCAACAGCAATTTATATTATTAAAAATAAAATATTTTTTTCAGTCTAATTGTTCATCATTTATATTTTTTGCACTCATTTTGTATGCTAAATACAGATTTGTTAGTTTTGCTAAGCCTATTAATCAAGAAATACTTGTTTCACACTATATGGTATTTACTAAGAATCAAGTTTAAAATTATTTCCATATAAATGTTATTTATATCTTATTGGATTTATTTTCAGGTTGTGTATGATACTAATACACTTTACATTTTTGCGCCCAGTGCACACAGCAGGGATCAGTGGGTGAGGAATCTTAAAGAAGGTAAAGAAAACTAATTAATACATGACGCCTTTAAGAAGCAAGGCAGTTGCTTGCACTAGAAAATATGATGCACAAATGTGTATGCTCTTTGTTTAAAGGATTATATATGTATTGGGACAGATTCTGCATTGGTTAATATCATATACTACAATATTCTGTTTCAGTCATGCCTCTGTAAACATAAAGTAACCTCAGTGACAAGACTGGAATTCTTCTTGATTCCCACCATCATAAATGAAAACAGATTTTGACCCTGTGGTGTTGCACAAGCTAAAAGTCATGGGAGAACCTTATCCATAGTAGTTCATGCCATTAATCATGTACAGAAAATATATTTATATATTTTAAATGAAAAGTATTATAAGCCTCATTCTCCTCTCATTGAGGCTGGTTTAAAACCAGTGTAACGCCCTTGACTCTAATAGTTACTCCTATTGTATTTAAGGCTCATAACAATGGCCATACTGGATCAGATCAGTGATCCATCTGGACAAGTATCTTGTCTTCTAACAGTGGCTGGTATAGGATGCTTCAGAGGGGAGGAACACAAGAGGACAATCAACTTACATTTGCGTGAAGGGAAAATGATCAGGCCCTGTATATTCAAGAGATTTATCAACCTCCTTCTGAGAACAGATTTCCATAGGAAATTTTGTCGCCTTCAAATGTAACCAGTTCTCATAGTCATTATTCTAGGAAAAACTTACATTTCATGTCTTTGGCGAAAGATATAGTCATGCGCTATTTAGGAAAGTTGGACTCAATGGCAACTTTTCATATATTTGCCTTTTATTATTCTTTACATTAGCTTCTGCTATTAATAATGTTAAGATCAGCTGACTAAAATAGTAGTTCTCAACCGTTTTGGGCTCAGGATCCTTTTATAAACCATGATGGCCTGTTGTGACCTAGTAAGTGGCTATAGTTCAAAAAAACTCATGTATTAAATATTTCTTAGCCACAGTATACAATGCACATTAACATAATACTAGCACTAACAACATTTAATACCAAACAAGGACATCAGGTGTATCATAGTGCCAGCTCCTGCAGCCTATGTCCTGTGGGATTGGCTGGGCTTGGCTCCCTGCAGGTGGTGTTGTGACCTTCCAGGTTATGATGTAGCTCAGGATTGGCCTAGCCCAAATGGGGGAGGGGAGAGGCAGCCAGAACAAATGTGAGTGAAACTGCAACCTGGTGTATGGGGTCACAACTCCATTCACTCAAATTTGGCCCAGCTGGCCCCCTCCATCATCATGTCAGGGGGGCAACTAGGACAAACCTGAGAGGGCTTGCAATTCTGTGCACCAGGTCCCAATGTCCACAGTAGGGGGCTGAACTCAGCAAGCTTTGCAGTATCAGATCCACAAGAACTGCCACTGGATGGTGAGTGTAGCATGACTTCTACAGTCACCTCCCCTGCATGTCCCAGGATCTTCTAATCCTTTTGGGGCAGGATCTTCCCACTCCAGGCATCCTATGTGATTCTTTGACACATTTGTTTTACAACCAATGGGTTGAGAAACCCTGGAATAAGACTTGCAGATATGCCCCCTTAATAACACTGCTACCCCTCTGAGACCCCTTAATCACATTGCAGGTCCAGTCTAGAACCTTACCAAATTCACATTCCATTTTGGTTTATTTCATGGTCATAGGATTGTAAAATTAGTCAATTTCACAATTTCAGACGTTTACATATGGAATTTCACAGTGTTGTAACTATGGGGGCCCCAGCCCAAAAGGGGATCATGAATGCATGTTTTGTAAAGCTACATTAGTAGGTCATGGACTTGCCACCCTTACTTATGCATTGCTGCTGGCAAGGGTGCTGCCTTCAGAGCTGGGGAGCTGGAGAACAGCAGCTGTTGGCTAGGTGCCAACCTCTAAAGTCTGCACCACTGCCAACTGCAGTGCAGAAATGAGTATCACAAGCATGGGTAGCAAGTGATGCTTCCCCCCAGGGAGGCAAGCTCCCTTCCTGCTCCTTTGATCTAGAGCTCCACCCCTGCTCCACCACAAGCCCTGCTCCCTGCTCACTGCATT